TACTGTCGGCGATCGGTTTGATGAGCTTACAGATCTCCTTGTTGATTGCAAAGTGATAATCGTCATCCACCAGGTTGGAGATATCCTTGTTGATCGGCGGCTCGTTGGCTAGTCTTGACTTGTCCACGCAGTGTTGAAAACCTTTGTGATATGATGCAACTCCAACACAAACAAGCACTGCTGAATACCATCGTGTTTCACAAAAACTTGATAAAAACTTCAAAACATTGTTTTCTCGACCCCATGTCTTCAGCTGTGTCGTCCAATAATGAGAACTTGTAAAAAAGTTGATCAGCTTGCAATTCTTCTTGAAGACCTGCTTCATAGTGCACTGAGCTGACACATCTTTCGTAATCAAATTAAGTTGATGAAGGCAGCAACGCAAAGGAACCATATTTGGGTGCAAATTGACCAAATTGCTCCTCAATCTGATCATGGTAGTTGGACTGTCGGATACAAAGGCAACAATTGAGGTCAACCTAAGAAGAGTTTTGTTAGTTGACAGTAACAATTGCTGCAGCAATGCATTTGCTGTCGGCCTACCTGTAAAGTGTACTATGTCCAATATCCATTGTTTGGTGCTAGTAATGGCAATCACTGCATAGATCGAGTTGTTAGAAACATCTTCCCATCCATCCATTGTTAGCGTCACATCGTTGACGTCCTTGAGTTGATCTCCAAGCTCAAGTAAACATTCACTATATCTTTTCTGTAATAGTCTATCAGATACTACTCTTCTTGAAGGAATAACGTAACTAGGATTGAGACCACGAATGAACAGGTCAAGTTCCTTGTTGGAACACACATTGAAGGCACTGTTGGAGGATACCAAGAAGTCTAAAAATCTCATATGATGAGTCTCCTGTACTTCTGCCTTCATTGGCGGACTGAAGAACTTTGACAGACGTTGCTGCTGGTGCTGCGGCAAAAAAACTGGTTGTGACTCCAACCCTGATGAGTGCATTGACATTCGGTGCCTCTTTGAAGATCTTTCTACGATACGCATATACTCAACTCTACTTTCAGAAGTCAAAGTACATCGATGCAAGACATGATGTTCTAACTTGTCAGGCTTGCCATCAAGCACCTCACTACAATGTTCACACATTGCACGATAGCGATTTCCACTCCCCTTCTCAACTGAACGATAAAAATAATGCCATCTTGGATTTATCACCTCATCTGCTCTTTTCCATCCCGGCGGTATCTGTGTTTCATGTCTAGGCTGTGATGATGAAACTGTTGCTGTTGCACTTTCAGCTTCCACTTCAAGTGACAATGAATCCACAATCAACGATGGAGTACAAGAGTTCATTTTGGAACTCTTGTACGCTGCTCCTTTCTACTGTACCTGACAGAAAACAAAGAAGAATACTTGATAATTTTGTAAAGACTTGTGATTGACTAATATCTATGATACAGATTTCTTAAACAACGTTGACACTCCTGATTATTTCTACCAACAAATGATCCATTCCTATTTTCACAAACGTAGGTGAAGTAATATTACTGTTGAGATGAGTGTAAGCTCCAGCTGCTTCCAACTCGAAGACCACTCTTGTTTTGTTTGAAGCAGTCTTCAATGGTACAGAATGTCAAGACACTGCTACTGCCCAGGAGCAGTGTGCTTGTAACAGCGGATGCCCTGAAGAGTTACATAATGTCATCAACATAATACAGAATTATACAAAATACAGAATTCATGTTATACGGAATTCATCATCATACAGCTCACGAGTGAATAAAACATACGTAAAACATAAAACGTAAAACATAAAACTTACTTGCTGGCTTCTCAAGGTCCTTGAGAAGCCAGCAAGTAAGCAAGATATAACCAGGCAGCAATCAGTTGGTGATTTGCCATGTTCTTATCTACTCCCATGTGGAGATGTGATTTGGGACTGCTTGTTATAATCATACGCCCAAATATCTTGGTCCGGTAGACAACAGGTCAAGGCAATAATGAAAACATCACTTCTACAGCAAAGTATACTTCAACTTGCATTAGTCCCTAGAGTACATGAGGGCAGATCCCTATTTCCCAAGCTCAGTTTTCGTAAACGATTCACAGTTTAATCTGAGTCATGTACGAACACAAGAAAGACTGGCCTTAACCGACAATGCATGCTCTCCCAGCTCCTCGAAGCTTTCTTGAGAAAGGATTAAGCTCTAGGGTCAATGGGGATCTCATGCAAGGGTTCAGAATATCAGCAGAGCATCGCACAAACATTTCATGATTACAGTTCACTGCGACTAAAGACAAAAAGTAGTGAGAAGGACCTCGCCGAGACGCCAAGAAGGAACTTTGCGCAAAATCTACCAAACGAGATAGAGAATTCGTCCAAGTATACAAGGCACTATAAAGTCAAGAAACGAGGGAAAATCTTCTTCCGAAGTTTTTACTGTGAGAAACAACTCCGACCGATTTAAGAAAGGGATGAGCACCATTGTGACTGCCAATGCTTTGCTCGTAAGGTACAACGAACGCTAGGATCGAGGCTAGGAATCATCCTCTTCCCATATCCTTTCAGTTTGGAAGGACAAAGTTCTGAGACTACGTACGTGAAGAAGAGTAGCACAATAGTAGAGAAAGTACTTATTACTCAGTACATACAACAGGCACGAACGTGACCTGCAGGAGACTCGACGTACGATAACGGTACTGTACAGTCCCATCACAAGACCTTTCTCTTAGAGGTTGCTAGTATGGAGATCAGTCACAGTCATTGCTCACCATGCCAAGAACAAGCCGCTACCATAAGTCAATAATCATTCTCTTCCCAAATTCTCTCAGCTGTCTCACAAGTACGAGATCTCGAGATCGAGGTCATTTGAGGCATAACGGAATAATCTTATCAGGAGTAGTATGAAGTAGTTAGTCCTCCCAAAGAATCATGTTGATGTCACATTCAGTGAGTAGGATGGTGTTGAGGAAAAGGAAAGATACAACAAGATGACTCTGGATGAATCAGAGAAATATTTTGAAGAGAAGCGTAAAGCCATTGCTGCAAGCAAAGTTGAAGAAAGAAATAACATTTGCAAGCACCGGATCTTTAGCCAGGTTCTAGTGGAGATCACAGTGCCTGAACTGAAGAAGCTCTTGCAGAAAGGAAAAATAAAAAACGTCGGGGAGACATCCAGCATTCTGCGCATCCCATCACAGCCGTCAAGCTGGAATACTGGCTCTGTTATAGGCATGTTAAGAACCAAATCATTTGGTGCAAGCCAATGAGAGTTGTAAAGTATTGACTGCGACCATGAAGCAATGCACAATACAAATACTAGTTCCAAGTAAGTGTACTGCTCAAGAAGGCACAGAGAAGGAACAAGAAGGCACAGAGAGTGAGCGAAATGGCATGAAACTGGAGATCAGTTGATCCAGAAGTAAATTTACTTCCGGATGAGTGACAGTTATGACCCAATTCTGCACTTTCAACAACAAACATTAAGTATACCCATCGTACGTCCTTGACTCGTGATGAAATAGACAACACGCAGGAATTCAGTCAAGATTGATCCTGACCTAAGAAGCAAAATCACTGGACGCCTTTCTCCGTGGACGTCGTAAAGGATGGCTACCTTTCACCCGGGGCAGTCAGTTTCTTTCTTCTCTCGGGCTGTTCATTATCGTGGTTCGACGTACTGGGCATAGCTTGATCGCTGGAATCTGGGGCAAAGTCTTTTGATCCCCTCTAGTTGGTTCTCGAGTTGAATTTGCCGTGCCCACCTGAGTTCAGATCTTCGAACGTTCCAGCTCGCGAGACCCTCCTTTTTCCCTCTTTTTCAATTGTAGAAAGCCACACGACGTATTTTGAGAGACTACAGTGCCTGTTTCAAAACCACTTCGGAGCAATCAAATGGATTTCTGCGAAAACTTTGTCAAAGTAGTTGGAACGCGAACGTAACCAACCAAACCTTTGATCAGTTCATTTACTCCACTAAGTGTAAAACGGGAATATGCGTATATTTTGATGTTATATTTATGATATATACGTATGTATATACGTATATATCATATATATATATGTACATACGTACATACAGGCATGCCCCATATAAAAAATGTAAATGAGGCATGCCCCTGGGCATGCCCCCGTGCCCTCGCCCGGGGGCATGCCTTTTTGGTTGTGCCTCCAACCCTACCTACACCGCGCGTCCTCTGCGGCCTTGCTTGCTCACTTGCCTGCCATCTCGCCTGAGCTAGCTCGTCGTCCGCATGCCCCGTCTGCGCTCAAATTCAAATTGCTGTCGAATTCGCTGCCGTTTGATTGCGCCCCGTTGATCGTCACAACTCTAAATTGCCCGATTTGACACCTCAACGCACGGTTCGCTCCGACACGGAAATCTACCCAGGATTCCACCATCTCACACTCCGCAAATTTTTCAAAAAAATTCAATCTTGCTATTCGTCAGGGGTCCGGAATCCCTCACTCACAAAGCAGTTCAGATTGTGATACCGCGGCAGGAAGTCAAAGTTTCACATATAATCTCGTCGGGTTCCTGGCGGGCGTGCACCTTCACGCCGGCACACACAAAGCCATAGGCTCGCGGGGATACCTTCCGTCGAGCACGTACTCTGACACTCACCAAACACCCACAGGTAACTTCCCGAGACAGTATACTCACACGCTCCCGCATTTTCTCCTCACTCGTTGCCTTGTGAAATCTATCACTCTCTTTAAAACGCTTTTTACTATTTGTTATTCAAATTCAAGAAGTGTAACACGAAGTATCAAAAATCTGAACACACAGTAACCACGTGGTTCATCCCTAAGGAAAATCCACGGAATTATTTTATTATATTTGTTCAAAGGCGATATATATCTCTCGCCTTCATTCATATATATATACATACATATGAAAGCTAAACCCAACGCTAACCTAAATTAGGACTAGAAAAGAGTTCATATAACAATAGAGACTAAGATAGACTGTTCGGAATAAAAGAAGCTAATAAATAATCAAGACACAATATATCTAGTTCACTAAGGCAGTAAGTTCTGACCATAACTAAATTCACAGGAATAATCCTCCAAAATAACGTGTTGTGCACTGAATCAAAGTAGAAGAATTGAGATATTCACATAACTCTGCTCTATCGCATTGGGCTGTTGTAGTCGACATTGTGCATTGTGAATGGTCCTTGAGTTTCAACAGTCGTCACGGTAGGAACCCATTCCACACACTCAATAACGCAAACACAGTTTTTAAGATTCTTTCAATCGTCGCAGGAGCTTCATGGTTTCATCACAATAGCTCAATAGAGCAGATATAGGAGCACTCCTTGCTCTTTGAATGGTGCATATTACAACATCATTTACATCCTTTTACATTTATTTATGAAGCACATGACTGCGACACCAACCACGTCGTATCCATTTGCCGAAGGCCAACTCTGAGAGGTAACTGGGTTCGAGAGGGAGAGTTCATCATTGCTATGGCCTGTAGTAGCCGAGGACGGGGTACGCTGTCTGAATGCCGGTCATGGCCAGAATGATGGTGGTGGCTAGTAGCCAAATCATAAGGCACGGCCTGTCTTTAAGCCTGCGGAGGAAGCGCTCGTACTCGTGCTGAATTCTTCCGAAACATCGTATGCAGATGTTTCTGAGCTCGTTCTCGAAGAGAAAACTCACGTCGTTTTGAAGATTCCGCAGGTCGGCCGTGTACTGGATATCAGTACTGGAATAGTTTCGCAGCAGATTATTGAACAGATCAGCGACTTGCTGGTCGGCATCGTCTCCTGGCAGAGAGAAGGAGAGAACAGAGCTCTGGAGCTGTCTCAGTAACCTCACATCGTCCGCGGTGTCGATCAGATGGTCTAACACCGAGAGGTAGCCGATGAGCTTCTGACTGTCAGGGGATGTCGTCTTTGCGAGCTCATAAGCGCACAGATTTCTCAGAATCCTTCTCGTATCGACCGTCACGTGGATCTTCGGTAGCGACAGAACTGCCGTGAAATGAAACGTCGACCTTTCGAATGCTGCGCCTGTGACGCCAGCATCGATGCCCTTCAAGCGGATGCTTGCTTTTCGCAGCTCCGATGCCGTCCTAAACGGCTTCTGAACAGATCCAGGTTGCGATTGCGGTTCCCCTGTCCCGGACGAAGTTGTGGCATGTTTCGTGCACGATCCACAAATACGACCGCCCGTTGTCCAACACTCGTTAGCACTTGGCAATCGTTCAGTGTGCTGAGGACTTACGTTTGACTCGCCAGGTGGGCACATGGTAAAGTAGAGACATTCCAGCAAGTGCGTGCAATGGAGAAATTGAGGAGGGACATCAGCACGTGCACAGGCCCTCCGTAGGTTCAAACTTCCCTGTTTGAACCTACGGAGGGCCTCGTCGACAGTTCCATTGATGAGAGCTTCTGGCGATGGAGCATCCTTCACCAAATTCAAAACCTTCCCTATGACCTTAAGAGGAATCTGGTTCGGAACTAGCCAGACGTCGGAGAAGATCTGGTGAAGATTGCAAGCAACAACCACCTTGGTGAAGATGTGTCGAAGTTCTTGGAGCTGCTTCAGACCTCCCTGGGGTTCTCGCAGCTTGGAGAAGATCTCGGTACAGACGAACACCGTAAGGAATACAGCATCCAGAGTAAGACAAACCTTGGCGCTCGAAGCATCAAATTGTTCATCTCTCTGAGTTTCATCGTAGAAGTCTAGGAACGTTTGTGCGTTCTCTTCTGAGCCCACCACCTTCATGCAAAGTCCCTTCCAACTCAAATGAAACAGTTTTATGAAGCTCGTGACGACATCAATCCTCACTCTATCTATGGGAGTCATCTTCACCTTGTTCCTCCGATACAATCCCAAATGAATGATCTGTACTCGATAATCGTCCCTGCCAGCAATCCAAATCCGTCGGGGAATCAGGCACATGCAAGACTTTCCGTGACCACCCTGATCCCGATCATTCGCTTGCCTTTTTTTATCGGCACCCTTTTTAATCTCGGCAGGAATCTTCAGAACCCACGGTACCGGCAGTTCTCCTCTTTCCATCGTGAGCTAAGTGTACGAAAGGAAAGCTCCTCTCCTTCAGAATGAGCTCATGATGAGACAGAGAAGAGTCCTCTTGGGTCAGCTCCAAATTCAGGGCGATGTCAGTAAGAATTCGATCTCACTGACTGTGATCTATGACGTCTCGCTACACAAAGTGGTAACATTTGCTTCGAACTGCTCATCTGCTCGGTTTGCTCACTGCCTGTGGTCGGTCCTATCCATCTCATGCTCCTCCGACGCCTAACTTGTTGACCCAGACCGTGGCTCACTAGACGCGAAATGAGCATAGATACCTTCACGTAAATACGAACAAATAAACCTCCAAATCCTTCTCGGAAAGTACGTACTGGCCTCGTCGTTTTCAATATGAATTTACGACACCCTGAGAGTGAGAGTGGAAAGAGAAGGGACTCCACCATTGACTAAAGTGACAAGCGGGAAATCTGGTCGGAATCTCTCGTCCTTTTGCGTCAGCATTGTACAGAGCTCAAGCTCGCGATGCATGTGAGATTGTGAAGTGGTTTCAAGAGTTCAGGCTACATTTGATTTGCGTTGCTCCTATCAAATGGTCCACACGACGACTAAAACTTCGGTAGTACAGACAAGACCTGAGAACCAACGTTGCTTCGATTACCAGACTCCATCACGACTTTCTCTTTTCTTTGGCTGTGACGCATCGTGACAAGTGCGATGGTCCGTCACTGATATCCTAGACGTTAATCGACGTTGTACAACTGAGCGGAGGAAGATCAGCTTTTGCTTCTGCACGGTTCTTTAAGCTTGATCCGAAGAAATCGCTCAAGACTCGGCTCGAGTGCAACTGACAAGAAATTGGCTGTTGGGGTCCGGATTATTAAAGGCTGCAGGGTATAGTCGTGGTACATATTGTAGAAGATTCTCTCAAAAGTGTTTCTCTTGTTGTATCCTCACAAGGTTTGAAGTACCTTGCCGAAGTCTGAGGTACTTCACGGCAAAAAGTCCGAGTTACCTTCGGCCGAAGACACTTCTGCGCCTTCGCTTATCCATATCAGCCAACTTCGACACCCCTAACTCAGTGATTTCTTATCGGGTTGAAGAGTTTTTGAGTTCGTTAAAATGAGCGTGCTGAGCTTTATCTATCAAAACCCTAACTAAATCAAGATGTAACGAATTGAAAATGTTATGAGGTATTTACTCTATCAGATCTCTTAAACTTCTCATTTCGAGAACGAAAAGAAAAACTAGGTTACCACACGACGTGCTAGGGCATTTGGATAGCTTGATTTTCTGGTGAGTCGCAAACAAAAAGGCCGAGTGCGTCGTAGACGTCGTACTCAAAGTGAACCACAAGTCCGTTGTTTGGGGGAAAAGAGCTACTCAAAAGGGCGTCGGACCTATGGTTATTAACAACAAAAATGCATCATATCAATACAAAATTCCATAAGTTGAAAACACTCGAAATGCATCTGTTGAAAAAAATGTTCTCTACATGAAAAAAAACTATAATTAAAGAAATCCAAAATTTTTAATCTCTTTCTTTGATTTTGTACCTTGTGAACTTCAAATCAACATAACTTTCTCTCTATGCGTGATCTCTCAGTGAATATTTAGGTTGACATATAGCATATCTTCAAATACACACTCATACAGATTTCTGAAAGGTGAATCAAAATAAAGGAAAAGTAATCTACTCTTAACAAATTTTTTTGAAAATAAATTTTTGGTACTTGTAAAAACCTCCTTAACTTTCAACACTCATAAGTTTCTATCTACATACTATCTATATTTGAAACAAAAATTAAAACATACCTTACCTTCTGCGCTTTAATCAATAATTAATTTGAGAATAAGCCATCCACTCTTCTTTATATAATTTTTCAAGAAAACTTTTGAAAGTAAAATGTAATACGTGCTTAATACAACTGTAGTACAACTTGAAAGTATATACTACATAAAGTTTGAGTTATAGTAAACACACATAACATCCACACTAGTTATGGTTTTTCTCCCTAATTTATACTCATACAAAGTACAAACTACATTGTGATCTCAAGCTTCAAATAAACCCCACGATACCGCAATCTCCCTCAACAAAAATCTTGTCTTTCACGATATCAACAAGCATATCGATGTTGTTTTTCTCTATATGTAAGGAGCTTAGAGGCAGCCGAATACCTTCGCAAGAAAAGTATATCACATAGGTTGAATCTGATCAATAAGGCACAAGAGAGCAAATACGGGAGTATAGAGTTGCAGGTTTCAACTCAACAGAGTGAGTTGTCACAGGCGAGATGAACCGTCAGCTCCTAATGGCAACTTGTTAGTTTCTGTTCAAGGTAGCAACTTGATTGTTCTGCCAAACATGAGCTCACGGTAGCAGGCAGACTCAACAAACAGGTTCAGGGCTTCATACGGTATGCACTGTTCTTGTAAATTGATGTGAAAGCAATCATTGTAAATACATCCATACGAATATGAAAAGACGTGATAGTGACACCGAAGTTTGCTTCCACTACCAGAGAGTCAAAGGAATTGAGTTGAGCTCTGTTGTGCTCTATTGTATTGTGTTGTGTTCTATTATGTCATCGTTGAATTGCTGGTGCAAGCCAGTTCCAGTTCAGCTGCTGCAGCTAAGCTCAAAGTTCAGGTCACAGTTCTCGCTTGCAGATACTGTATTAGGTCCAACCACCGACTCTCTGTTTACTCTTTATTGTGACGCCTAAACTAAATGTGCTCGGGTTCGCAATGATGTGGTTTGATCGACGGAGCTAGAACTTGACACATTGGCTTCCTCTCTTGACGACTATCAGCCTATGGTCCATGTGATTGAGCTTCATCGCCTCCTTGTGCAAGAGCTCTCACGCAATGTGAGTTCCACCAACAATCTTTTATTTCAACATTATGTACATCACGACTATGACCATACTTTCAGTCTATGTCGTGACTGCTTGTATAAACTGAACATCAAATCCACCAACTGGGTCAAACAAAAACTATCTTTGTGTACAAAAGCTCAATCAAGTAAAGAATCTGTTAAGACGAACAAGTCCACTCTTTGTACGACTTCGTGGAATCTTGTACTAGTCAGTAGTTGACAGAAGTTTACTTTCTATGATGCCAAGCCTATTTCCGTGGATTCCCTCTCACTTAATAGAAATCAACCAATAACCAAGTGCATTAACCCATCTCTTTCTTTCTTGGTCAAAGTTCATACTTTTTGTCTCTTTCTCGTCAAGTGATGATGACATGGATTATATCTAAGAGTGCTGATATTGGATAAATACCATGATTCATTCATTCCATAATGCTTTAAAACTACTATTACATAAACAAAAATACAAATATACACTTTTTACAATATAATACAAATGGGTGATATGATTTACTATTTATCGTTCCATACAATTATAAAAAAATCAATACTTAACTTAGAATATCGTTTTGAAGTACGTCAAATGGCATTAATAGGATATTATATTTATTTTCAGCTAACTAGAAAATAGGAGAGAGTGTGCAAGGTTTACACATAGGGCTCCGATCGGATTCGGGTAGAACCCGAAAACCCGAGTTCGGGTCGCGTTCGGGTCGACGGCTGTACTCGACACGAAACCTAGAGGCTATAGTCCGCCGCCAGCTGGTGGCGGCGGTGGATCCAAACTCTAGAAATGATAGAGTACATAAGGAGTGGAGTGCGCTAGGGCTCGCATCTTGGCTGTTGAGACGAGACAATCTGAGACAATCCAAGCACTGAGAGTGTTTTGAGACGATCCAAGCACTGAGAGTGTTTAAAGACCTGAGTGTTCTGAGACGATCCGAGACCACAGAGTGAGAGCTTTTGATCCAAGACGCAAGTGTTTTGATACGAGACGCGAGACGCGAGTGTTCAGATCCGAGATGCAAGTGTTCGGATTCCAAACGCGAGACCTGAGTGTTTTGATCCGAGACAAGAGTGGTCTGATCTAGGACGCGAAACCTAAGTGTTCTGATCCGAGACAAGAGTGGTCTGATCTAGGACGCAAAACCAGAGTGTTCTGATCCGATACGAGAGTGGTCTATTCTGAGACGCAAAACCTGAGTGTTTTGATCAGAGACGAGAGTAATTTGTTCCGAGACGCAAAATGTAAGTGTTTTGATCCGAGACTTGAGTGTTTTCATCCAAGACTAGAGTGTTCTAATCTGAGACATGAGATTCGAGACATGAGAGTATTCTGTTCCGATGCGTGAGTTCAGACTTGAGAGTGTTTTGATCCGAGACCTGAGAGTGTTCTGGTCCAAGACTTGAGAACTGAGAGTTTTCTGAGACCTATGAGTGTTCTAAGACCTCAAACTGTTCTGATCCAAGATCTTAGACTTAAGAGTTTTCTGAGACCTGAGAATATTCTGATGCAAGCTTTGAAAACTGAGAGTGTTCTGATCCGATACCTGAGAGTGTTTAGAGACCTCAAACTGTTCTGATCCAAGATCTAAGACCTGAGAGTGTTCAGAGACAATCCGAGATCTCAAAGTGTTTCATATATGTGTTAGTATGACATATGCTCACCTTCTGTTTTCTATATGGATTATTTTTTATATAAAATTAAGACATTAACATCACATTTCGTAAAAGTGATATCTATAATATAGTAAAAACAGTATTTTAAAAGAAGTAAAATTCTTGTTTTCTCTAAAATTCATTTTATTTTTTTGAAAACTCACTAACATATTATCTTTTTTTATTTAAATCTCTGAGAACAAATTAAATTTCAAAAATGCTTCTTTATCGTTATACATATCACTTTTGAACTTGGTCACTATTCGCTCTTGGTCTCAAATACTTTGCCCAAATACATGTGATAAAAATCAAGTTTTAACATCTATTTTTTCTTGCTTGTGTTGCAGGGACAACCATTGAAGCAAATCTCAAGCAATTGAACTATTGCAACATTGAACTCCGCAATTTACCTTTCATTTGTTTGATTACACCGTAAAACTTTATTGAATTAACAATGAAACCCCTGCAAAGCGTACGTGCTCATATTCATTGACCCGGTTACAGCTCCAAGATAGAGAAAAACGAATTGCCCACAACTCGGAGAATCTTGCCATCGTCAATCAAGTTGATGACTCATATTTTGAAAATGAGCAGTGGATCTTTTCTAGCAATGATGACATTGCACATTTATGGAAAGATGATGATCTGATACATGCTCCTAAATCAACAAACTTAGAACTTTTTTTGTGAAGATCTTACCGTTGATCTGCTTGAATATGGGAAAGTTCATGAAATATTTTTTTTCCCTAATCCGTGCAATTGCAAAGTACTTTCTTTCTATACTAGATTCATCACTTACCGTTGCACATATTTTCAATTGCGGTTATGATGTGATTGGTATGTGACAGCACTCTCTCATTGCCGCTATTTTTAATGCTTTGATATTTGAAAAAGTGTTTTAAAATGATTCATAATAAACAAAAATTACAATTCGTTTCTGTCCATGATTTTTGTCGACCTTACCCAAATCGATCTGAACCCGACCCGGTTTATGAGTTTGGGTTGAAGGTCAAATCCAACCTAAAAATTCTAGCCTAGAAATCAACATTTATCAGTCATGTCAAA